CCAGACAGACCTCTTTCTGCCAGCTGTCCCGGAAGCCGAAGGCAGACGGGACTCCAGCCTCTTCCCTCTTCCTGGGAGTCTCCGTCACCCTCTTGTGCTCACTGCTGTCGGCCAAAGAATGGGTGTTTGGGCACACGCGCGTGGATGGCATCACCATAAAGAAAAGCAGGGGATGCGTGACCAAGCCAGAATGTTGTGGGGGGTGGGGGGGCGGGCACACGATTTGGGGCGATTCTCTGATTCTTCGTTCACTCTTGCTCTGCCCTGACTACGCGTCCTTCAGCATGCGCGAGGTGTTTCACTCTACATAAGTTATGCATTTCCAAGAGTCCCCCACCCTCCTCCTCCCTCCCCCCGTCACACACAGACAAAATGTCAGAGTAAGAGGAAATCATAGTTACATGCTTGAAATATCTATTATTTTTCCCTGCGTCTGAATGAGTCATTCTTTACTTGAACAGATCCTAAACTTTGGCCATGTTTTCTAGAGAATAGTGCTCGTCTTTATTTCGCATCTGTATGACGGCGTTTAGCGGAGAGGATCTAACCCACGTAATGGAAAACTACAGTGTCCTTTTTGACGATCATTTATTTTAAAACATAGAGACTGGCAGATTTTTTTTCGCTTTCCGATGGCGAACTTGTAATTCAGACAGCACAGCCGTGCCGTTTCTTATCGAAACGCTGAATATGGTCTTTGTGCTTCTACTAACGTCATGAGTCCGACCGTATTGCTATGTTTCTCAAGGCACAACCTATAAAAGCAATTTTCTACTCCACATAAAATATTCATGAGAATACAGGCTTTTTGTTTGGATGCTGCATTCTTTAAGTAGAGAAGGTTGTATTGTTTTCTTCGGGGAGCTTTGGGTCAAAAGCTCTGGCAGCTTCTGTGGAGAATGCCTGGCCTGTCAAATGGTTTTTGATACAGAAATAGTGCGAGTCGCATATGATACACCCGCCAGCAGCTGGAAAGAAGGGGGACTGTGGCCGTGATCCCCCCCCCGCACCCCGGCTGCACCAGGCCTGGGACAGCGGGGCTCCGGCCACATCGCCCACCCGCCGGGCCCGCCTGACTGGCCGCGCAGGAGGGATAAGGAGGTGGCATTTCTCTGCAGGCCTCGCCACGGTCTCCTTGTCCCGCGTCCGTTCCCACACCGCCTCTCGTGTCTACCTGCAGACGCGGTGTTGTTTCCACCGGCGGAAGCCGCTTACGGCGCCGCTGACCTGGGTAATGGGGTAGCTCTTCCTTCTGTGTGCCGTGCTCTTAGCCTTCTTTAGCAGAAGAACGGAGTTTTGTGTGAGTTTTGTGTGGTAAAGCGAGCAGTAGGCCCTCCCTGGCTAAGAAGCGGTCAACGCAAAAGGAACGGTGCAGTGAGAACAGCACGCCGTCCCGCGGACACCCGCACGTGTCCCGGCTCTCACCCTCCACGCCCCGCTCACGGGCCCCCTCCGTCGTGTGCGGGCCCCTCGCCCCCGAGCATCCTCTGACCTCGGCCTTTCGTGTCTGGGGAAGGACTAGCGGGGGCTGCCGGGCAGTGATCCCTTGGAAGATTCCCTATGCTTCCAGCCTCGGAAGGATCTGGAAAAGGTTTGAGGAAACGAAATGAGCTCCAGCTTGCATGTGGCAGATGTGCACAGCCCGCCTCGGCCCGCTGCTGAGAAGGAACCGTCCAAACAGCCTGGTCCTGCCCCGCGCCCCCACCTGAGCGCTGCTTCCCCTGCGGTGCCCCTCCCCCCCGTGCTTCCCCGTGGCAGGCACCCCACTGCCCGCCCTTCTCCGTCTGAGGCCCGGCCTCCCCCGCACTGTCACCCGCTCTGGCCCCGCACGGACGCTCCAGGGTTTGCGCGTGAAGACCCTGCCCTCTGAGTGGGGGTTGAGTTTTCCGTCAACCTGCGTCCCCACGCCCCTCCACGTACACCCTGACCTCCGGCCCTTGTTCACGCTGTGCCCCCGTGTGGATGAACCCCCCCCCCAGCCCTGTTATAGGCTGGCCTGGGGGTGTCCCCGCACCCAGCACAGAGCAACAGGGCCCCACACAGCTCCCCAGTAAACGAACGTGTTCGTAGAAAAGTTCAGCCCGCCGTGTTTTTGAAGTTGCTAAAAAGCTGCTCTGTGGTCAGCACCTAAAGGGATTGACCGCTAGACATTTCTGATGGTCCCCTGAGCCCCTACGTGAAAAATTGGAGTAATGAGGGGATCTGCTAAATGAACAGCAGCCAGGTCTTCTGCCCGGCGGCTCAGGGCCGGGCTCGGTGCCACGGAAGATCTCGGGTCCCCAGGCAAGACGGGACCCCTCGCACATCTTCTAGCGGGGGGCGCACGAAGTGGGGCAGCTGACACCGCGCAGGGCGGCGTGCTGATGTCATACGCTCTCTGTGGCTGTTTACTTAAGCCAAAACACTGTCGCTTCGCCAGGCAACCCGGGGCTGCTCTCACCCGGAAAGGGAGTCGAACCTTCTCGCCGCGAGGCTTACGGGCTCAGTGCGTCGGTGCCTGCGTGGGCGTGTGTGACCCTCCAAGACACAGTCAGGTTTATCCTTAGAGAGCAAAGGCTGACTAACCCGGGGAGGCCTGCCCCATGCTCACCGGTGTCTGCAGCATAAGAGGCACGTTAGCGGGCCCGCGGACAACAGCCTTCTCGCTGCACCCGTGGCCACACAAGGGTGAAACCGGGTAGCCATCCGCAGTAACGGTGCTTCCGGGAGGCGTCCCGCATGGCCACCCTCGGGAGCGAGGGATCACACACTCCCTTGAGAGAGAAGAGTGGGCGTCGAGTCCTGTAAGGAGCCCAGTGACACCCTCTTTCCTCCACGTTTGCTCACGGAGCTGTCCTCCCTGCCCTCGTGTGTGTTCCTTAAAAGAGAGTCTGAAGCAAATGGAGGAAGATATTGAGGTTTTTCTACAACTGCTATTTATATGATTTTCCCATTTTTCTATATTTCATAATAAAAATGATCAAGAAAGGCAACTGATAAAATCCAGCCTTTCCCAGCTCCGCGCGGTAGGAATGGGTAGGATAACACTGCTCCCTGGTCCTTCCTGCTCGTGAAAAACAATTTATTTGTGTAGATTTTGCTCATGTAAACAGCAAATAAAACCCTCTTAATATATCAAAGCTTGATACGCCATTAGAAATAATTGGTTGCATGCATTTTCACAGCTGGAGGGTGCATCTCACTGATTGGGGGAAACGGAAGATAAACAGTCCACTGGCATTTTATCCTGGCCTTGTCGGGGCCCAAAGGATAGGACAATGGAATACTTTCTAAGAGGGTCGAATACGGAGTATTTTCCAACCACCCTCTGGGCAGCTCTGTCTCTTCCCTCTGTTCCCTGGGGGTCCAGGGTGAGGCACTCCTCAAGGTAAAGCTGGTCCAGGCCCTGGGGCCCCTGCCAGCCCTGCCCCATGGGCCTCGGAGAGCTCCAGGCCCTGGAGCCTGAATGGCTCCGGGTCCTGGGGGTGGAGGAGACCGAGATTTTGTGGAAGAGCCGGACGCCCCGTCCTGGGCAGCATCCAGGACTCCGCCTATGTGAGCCGCGCCCTGCAGGCTACACGGCCACGTGTTTGTCCAGGACACTGGGGCTCAGGCCAGGTGACTACAACGAGGGCTTCTGCCAGAGCTGGGCCTCTCCCTCAGCAGTGTTTCCTAGCCTTGCCTCATCAGAACGGCAGGGCTGTGCCCGCGCAGTGACCACAGAAATGCTCCGTCCTGAGGGGCGGTTCCACGAAAGCGCCAGTTTACCGGGAGCTCTGGGCTTGTGTGGTTGCGGGGTACCGACTCCCCAAGGAACCAGATGATGGCTGGAGTCGGAGGGCCCTGTAGTCTGGGCATCAGGTCCCAGGGCACGTGGGCGGGCCAGTCAGGAGACCCTGGAACAAGGTCAGGTGCATAACGTGGCCCCACCGGCAGAGGATCCGGCCAGAGGTGGCCCTGATGGTAAGGAACTGGGGTGGCCTGCCTCCGTTGAATTTGAATTCCCACCTGAGTACTGAGCTCCCTGGAGCGGAAGGCCCCAGTCTCCTGCCCCAGGGCCCTGGGTCTGGTGTGTCACTTGAAGAAAGGGGCCAAGAGCAGGTTGAGGGGAGCTCTCTCGAAGGGATGGGGAGCTCCTGGGCCTGTGAGCTGCAGGAGCACGGGGGTGGGGGGGGCAGCTGCCCCTGCAGGGGACTGTTCCCCCTGCCTGGCCAGAGAAGCAGCACTCACGGCCTGTGCTTTTCAGCCTCGAACCTGCCGTAGGAGGAGTCCCCCCGTGGTTATGGGGTGATGGCCAGAATTTAAAACTTTGTGCACGCTTCTCCTGTCTGCAATTTGATATTGATCTGTAAGCATCAAGACTGATTTCGCTTCTGTTTCTAATCGGAATCACTTGAGCTCAGTACATTAGTAGGAGGAAGAAAATCCACTCCTTGGTGGAGCGCAGCGGCCCAGGACCCTGATGCACGTGCCGGGCGGGCGCTCACTCGCTGGCCGCGGTCGGGAAACACGTTTTCCGGGAGGGTGCGCGCCTCTCCACGGAAACGCGGGGCTGTCGCGGCCGTCGGGACCCCGTCAGCGGCGCACGCTCTTCTGCGCTTCGCGCACACAGGCCCTCAGTGGCTCCGCGAGGAGGAGGGAGAAAAGCGCAGGCCGGCTGGCCTCTCCGCGCACTCGCGTTTAGCTCTCTTTACAGCCAGCTTCTTTCTCTTTCTCGGGGGACTTTCGGGGACGACGTCAGGGCGGCCGCTGGGTCCCCCGGGGGCCTCTCCTTACAGTGAGTGAGAATAGATCGGCGGGCGCCTGTCGCGGCCTGACCTCCCACTCACTCTCACCGTCTCTGCCCTTGACCACCGGAACGCCCCAAAGGCCTCCCGAGCCCCGCATTTTGAGCCGGTCTGGCAAAGTGAGGGGCAGCGTGCTAGCCCAGAAGCCCTGGGCATCGGGCAGAGGCGAGGGAGGGCCGGGGCGCCCGTCCCATGGCAGTGACCGGCGCCTCTGTGCTGTGCTCTCTCCCGCAGTGGATGTGGCCTCCGCGCTGCCTTTGCAGGTCAGCCCCGGCCGGTGTATGGACCTCCGCCTGGACCACTGGTCAGCTGCCGACAGGCAGACCCACCCTCCGGGAGCAGCAGCTGCAGCAGGAACTGCTGGCCCTCAAGCAGAAGCAGCAGCTCCAGAGGCAGATCCTCTTGAGTTCAGAGGCAGCGCGAGCAGCTCTCCCGGCAACCTGAGGCCCCAGCTGCATGAGCACATCAAAGTAAATTATAAGGGCGGCGGTGATCGCGCTTCCTAAAGAGCCTCCCAGCGCCGGGTTCTCGGGAGGCGAGGGGGGGGCCTTGCGCACCAGCGGACGCCAGCGATGGCACTGGGGCCAGCGCCTTCTGTGCTGATCCCAACCTGCGAGGAGGCCTTCGCCCGGTCCGGGCGTTAGCCAGTGCGTGCAGCGGCGTTATTGGGAAAGTCACCCGGCTGGGGCAGGGCGGGCTTAAGGGCGGCAACGTTTCATTTCATCCCAAAAGATAACCGTCCCCAAAGTAGAAAAATTACCAGCATGGGAATCTTGATGAATGATGACCACCTCTGGGTGGTGCATTTATAAATCCTTGCATTTCCTTCGCCCAGGACTGGTCTTTCTCAGTTGTCCCCGTGATCCTTTAGAATTGGAAAAATAAATGGCACTATTTTCTTTTCATTTGAATTAATAAGAAAAAACTAACAGTTTATTTCCTTACTTATTTACTGGTTAGTCTCTGTAAATATTCATCAAGAAATAACTGTCATGTCACTAGGCTCCACTGTATTTGCTTCCACGGACACCGTCGGGAGAATACAAACAGGGCAGATTAAGCCGAGCTTACTGCCTTTCCGGTAGCCAGCCTGAGAGCCCGAAACGAAAGCCCCAGGTTCATTCATCTGTTCTGTGTGACAAAACACCTAACCTGGGCGATTTAAAACAGCAAATGTGCCTTAGCTCATGGTTTCGTGGTCAGGAATGAGGGCAGCCCAGCTGGGGATTGTGACAGGGTCCCTCATAAAGGCCAGGGCGTGAGACCCTCTCCGGGCTCACTCACGCGTGGAGTGGTGTGGGCGGGAGGTTCCCAGGCCTCTCGTCCTGTAGAGCCTCCCCACAGTGAGCACCCGAGAGACCAGGGCATGAGTCCCAGGTGCAAGCCCCGAGTGCCTCTGGGCGTCTGGGAAGTGGCAGCCCCTGTCCTGCCTTATTCCACTGGTCAGCGTGCAGCCCTGGTGCATGATGGAGGGCCCAGACAAAGTGTTGACCAGCAGCGAGGATCCGGGAGTACCATTGAGACTGGCTGCGAGAGGAATGTGGAGTGTCTTAAGTAGCCTCCTGTTTCCATTTGTTCTTTCAACGTCCTAATGTGTTAAGGTTTTGTTTATCGCATCTCCGGGACACCGTGGACGCTGCGCGCGCGGAGGCGTCTCGGTGTGGACTGGCTACATTCCAGCTCGGGGCCGCAGCGTGGTCGTGGCTTCCTGCCGGGACAGCACAGCTGGTAGGCTGAGAGCCCTCACCCTGTGCTACCCGGTTGAACACCCTTTCCATGGAGGCTGATGCCCGCGACCCGTGAAGCAGCTCAACCCCAGGCCCAGCTTTGTCGGTGCCAACCTTGACCCCTGGCCGATTATTGTGCCGCAGGGAACCCCTGTCAATCGTTAGTGGATCTGTCCTCCTGCTTCCGGCGATGTCTTCCGTCGCGGGGTCTCAACCACCCACTCCGTACCGCCGAATACCGTTCAGTATCCATTGAATGGCCGTATCGGCGGGTGGGGAGAGCGTGACTGTGCGGGGCCGTATTTTCCGCTCGCAATACCATGGGACAGCGGGGCAAGGCCGCCCAGTGATATCCGCGCCCAGTGGGCGCATCACAGATCGTGAACACCGCCGGAGGTCGCGTCCTTGAGGCTGTGTCTCGGGCCTCGTGGGGCCTGGGCGGGCGGACGTGGGCTAAGTGGCAGGCCCACAGGTCTTAGGAGCTGTGGCCAGCCGCTTCTGGGAGTTTAAGGTTTGCTATGCGCCCGCCTGCCGCATCGCCCTGGTGACTGACCCCAGATCACTGCAGTCAGCCAAGGCCAAGCGGTTCCCCTGAGCTGGCAAAGTCGGCCCGCGTGCGTCTGGACGCTTAGCATTCTAGGTGGCCTGACGCCTCGGCCTCACTTAACCGTCGTAATGGCCCGCTTCAAACAGGTAATCCTCCGGGTGTGCGGTTTGAGCCTGGGACCGGCGCCCCTACCCGGCTGACCCCCGCAGCGTGCCTGCAGGTGGCTTCGCTGTTCTGCGTGGTGGGTGAAGCGGCGGGAGTCTGGGTGAGGGCGGCATGCCCGTGGGGTCAGATCTGTGGCGGCCTCGGGGCGGTGGTTGCCAGCCGGGGAGATCCGCAGTTGCCGCTCTTCCCGGTGACCGCCTGCGGCCAATTAATCTTCAGCGGCGTGGCGGGAAATGAAGCTCCTCAGCGGGCCGTTTGTCTTGTCCGTGAGGCTAGAGCCTCCCCCTTTCACCAGGAGTAAGGCAGAATCTTGGCATCCTGCGTCCGGCCGCAGCGCCTCCAACCCGCCAAGCCGGGTCCCCAGCCCTGTGGCAACCTGAAGCCGATCACCTCGCGATACCGTCACCCGTCTTGGCATCGCGGTCACTAGTCTGCCTTCCCCGTCGCTTCCGTGAGGTCCCTAAATACCGGAGGCGGCGGGCCCCATCGCTGCCCCTGGCGAGGCCAGGCGCCCGTGTGCCCGGAAGGTCCTCTGTCCCAGCGGTTCGCGGCCCTGCCTCTGCCCTGCAGGCGCCAGCCTGGCTGGGCAGAGGCACCGGGAGCAGCGTCCACCCCCCCCTGCCCCGGGCCCTGCGTGCATGTGGCGGGGCCTAAGCGCCAGCAGGGCCAGCGAGGGGTGGCCCCTTCTGTGCCCGCGGCAGCAGGAGAGACCCGCGTGTCAGCTGAATTTGTAGCTGTGGCGAGATGAGAAACCGAATAACAGCGGCTGAGAAAAGCAAAGGCCCGTCGGAGAGGGATTTTGGAGCTGAGATGAGATGGGACTTGGAGGACCCGTCGGTGCTGTCACCTTAGGCGGGCTGGGCTGCCTGCCTGGGGCCTCCGCCTCGAGGGAGGGGGCAGGCCTCCCCCTCCCTGACCCCCTGTCCCCACCCACAGACTCCCTAGGGGCTTTGTGTCACTACTTTGGAGGTGAAGGGTCTCCCTCCTGAGTCCTCACGCTCCCGGCCAGGCTCCAGAGCAGCTACCACAGAGCCTCTTGGGAACCCCCCCCCCCTTGTGGGGAAACGCAATGGAGAGCCCCCCCCACCCGTCCTGGTGTCAGAGAGCCTGTGCCGGGACCCCTGGTATACATAACCTATGCTGCATCCCCCTGGTTCCTGAGAGTCTGTGTGGGGACCTCCCCCCCCCAGTGCCACATAATCTGTGCTGACCACCCCCCCCCCCCTTACATAGTCTGTGCGAGGAGTTCTAGCCATCAGGCTGCTCCACATGCCAGGTGTGCCCTGAGAACCTCCCTCTCACACACAGGGCCAGATGCTCAAGAGGTGCGGGAGCCCCACAGACATGGCTCTCACAGACCGCGACCCCCCATAGGCGTGGCTCTCTCATGGTGGGACCCCCACAGATGTGGCCCCCACAAATGTCAGGTGTGGCTGTCACATGTGCCTCCCCCTGGAATGTGGCCCCCCACAGATCTTCTCACAGACTTCGCGGCCTCCACCAGACATGGCAGTTCGGATGCCGGTCTCCCCACAGATATGGCTATAGGCTGACTCTAAAATGAAATGTCCCCATATAGATGTGGCCCCCAAAGACCGCGTCTCATGAATGTGGTCCCCACAGATATGAGCCCCCTACAATCATGGCTGTCACACCGTAGGCCCCTCAGTGTATCACAGACATAGCTCTCGCCAAATGAGCTGTGGCTCCCCAAATCTTGGTTCTCTGGATGTGCTCACAGATGTGGTTCTCCTGAAATATGGGCACTCCTGTGTCTCACAGACATGGCCCCCCATGGGCGTGGCTGTCACAAATAATGGGCCCCCTCCATGATGTATTTTACAGATGTGGTTCTAATGTGCCACCCACAAATGTGGCTCTCACAGACATGGCCTCCTTGAACATGGCCAGTTCAAATGTGGTCCCCTCATAGATGTGGCCTTCATGGCTCTCATGAAATGTGGCCCCCCTCACAGTGGGGCTTTAAAATGTATGAGCCCCCCCATATATGTGACCCCACCAGACTTGGCTCTCACGGATGTAGTCCCCCCCCCATGGAGTCTGGCCCCCACAGATGTGGCTTTCACATACCTGCCGCCCCCCCCCCCCACCCCGGCGTGGCTCTCACAAATGTGGCTCTGGGCGGTTCTCCTGCTTACAAGGAGAATCTCAAGTTTATATGTTCTCTGCATTTTAATCATGTGTTTATTTTTTTTAGAATCAGCTGTTTTAACCTCTCTGTGGTGAATCATTACATCAGTTGGCTTTTATTTGGATGATTTAAACTCTCTTCATGAGCCTTCATATTGTTGGTGACATTCGGCAGTGAAGTTTGTCAGACAGATTTCTTCCACACACAATCTAATTAGTGTCATTAAATCATCAGTGCATTTGAATAGGATTTTATAATTAAAAAGGGAATAATGTTTAAAATGTAACTTAAAGAGCCTGGGTAAGCATGATGAGTTCGGCGTCGACTTCCAGCCGATCTCGCGGTCGTGAGTTCCGGGCCAGCGTCGGGCTCTGGAGAAGGCTGATGGCTCAGAACCTGGAGCCTGTTTCGATTCTGTGTCCCTCTCTCTCTGCCCTTCCCCCGTTCATGCTCTGTCTCTCTCTGTCCCAAAAATAAACGTTGAAAAAAAAAAATTTTTTTTTTAAATAAATAAAAAAAAAAATAAAATGTAACTTAAATCGCTAACTTTGGGTAAATGAGGTCTTTCATGAGGTTTCGGCTGCCAGCGTAGCACTTTGTACTTGATGCGGTTTCTTGCCGGTTGTGGCTGATTCAGGTACCGTGTCCCGTGTCCCCTCCTTCTGTCCTGAACAGTGAGTTCTCTCCGGAAGAGGGTCCCAGGTGAGCGGCATAACCGAGGCAGAGGAGAGAGCGAGCTTCCGTGGGGCCAGTGTTTACGCCCAGAAGATTCTTTTTTTTTCTTTTTTTTTAACATTCTTATTTATTTTTGAGAGGGAGAGAGACAGAGCACGAGCGGGGGAGGGGCAGCGAGAGAGGGAGACGGAATCCGAGGCAGGC